CGCAGGATTTATTCAAAAACGTCGCATGCCTGCTAAGACCCGTGGCCATCCGCCTCAAACGATCCCCGATGAGGTCCCACGTGGCGCCGTGGCCTTAGGGATAGCCTAATATGGTGCAAATTCGTGGGCGCAGTGGATTCCTGAATCTAGCATCTCAGCCGGAAACGTCGACTGCATATCTGGAGCGAAAATGATCGAAAGTCGAGGCCGCGCCTCGGGGGCGCCCAGACTAGCTCCCTGATCTTGCTTGGCTCGAGCCGCGGGTGGCCCCCCCTCTATCTCGCATGGGGGCGCGACACACTCCCGCATCGCATTCGGCAACTTCAACAATACCACCTGACACAACTTTGCCCTGATGCCCTGCTGGTTCAAGAATGGTTTTGGCTTTCTTTGGCCCGTGAAATCCGCCGGCCCCCTTGTGGGGCCACCAGGCTGTAGGCGCGGGTTCGCAGTTTCCTGTACCAGTTGTAGCTTGTAGTTTCCAGTGTTACAGTTATGCTTCTTGCTGGTTACTGTAACTAGTTGACTTCTTGCTGGTTACTGTAACTAGTTGATTGACCGCGCGAGGGGGGGGGAGGCCCAAACAAGACTTTTAGCGTCCCCTGGGCGCGTTGTCTGAATTGCTGGGGGGGCTCGAAATCGACACCCCTCACGCAGATCCGCGGGGTCAGGGTCCAAAAACACAGGGATTTGCCACATTCTGAAATTCGGTGCCACCCCTCACGCAGATCCGCGGGGTCAGGGTCCAAAAACACGGGCCACCCCTCACGCAGATCCGCGGGGTGTCCAAAAACACATGGGATTTGCCACATTTCTGAAATTCGGTGCCACCCCTCACGCAGATCCGCGGGGTCAGGGTCCAAAAACACATGGGATTTGCCACATTTCTGAAATTCGGTGCCACCCCTCACGCAGATCCGCGGGGTCAGGGTCCAAAAACACATGGGATTTGCCACATTTCTGAAATTCGGTGCCACCCCTCACGCAGATCCGCGGGGTCAGGGTCCAAAAACACATGGGATTTGCCACATTTCTGAAATTCGGTGCCACCCCTCACGCAGATCCGCGGGGTCAGGGTCCAAAAACACATGGGATTTGCCACATTTCTGAAATTCGGTGCCACCCCTCACGCAGATCCGCGGGGTCAGGGTCCAAAAACACAAGGGATTTGCCACATTTCTAAAATTCGGTGCCACCCCTCACGCACATCCATCGCAAGGCGTGGTAACCCAAACTGCGAGTATTCCCTCGGCCCTTTAATCCCAAGGTGTGGTAACCAAGCTCGTAAACCACACACGTCTTACCAATCGCCGTGTGTGGTAGCCCCTCTTGTGATCAGTTGGTTTTGCCGATTGCGAATCGGCCTCGCATGAAGTTCCGATACTGCTGCACGACAGCGCCAAAGCCTCATGACGTAGCTCTTCCATGGCCCATTATCCGAGAGAGGGGGCCGGCGGCAGGGGGCGAAACCCTTACGGATAATCTGGCTCCACTGACTCCTCGCGAAACTCCGACCGCTGCTGACTGGCATTTTTGTTCCCGTTCCTTCCCACGCGACGCCAACGCCAACGCCCACAGAGATGTCCTCGATGAACTGCTGCATCTGGCTGACAACCATCGGCATGACCCCCGCGACGCCTCGAGCGCGTGCCACTGCGCTACAGCCGTTCACCTAGATATTGTCCATGATGCTGCGCCAAGAGGAGGCGGCCGATCATTGTTGAGCGCCCGCGCATGCGATCGGCCCCTTGGCGCAGCCGAACAGCGCCCCGACTCGGGGCCATCCATTGCCGACCTGCAGCAATCACTTCGGCATCTGCATCCTCATTGATCTCGCAGCTAGCTGCCGCGCTGCCACCCGCCCCGACGAGGAACTCCGTCCAAAAGCTCCGGCCTGCATGAGCTCTGCCCCTGCGTTGACTGCGGTACCTCCTCCAATCGCCACCGCGAACTTGGCCCGCGCCTCTGACAGACGAAACCATGCGACTGCAAACTCGCCCTGCCCATTGCTAGCCACGTTGAGATATGCTCGAAATAGTGCGCGACGTTCGCCCCAGTCGGCTGGACGAGGGGCCTGCCCCACCACCGTCGCTGACGGCAGCGTCGGCGTCACAGCGAAGACAGAATTAAAAACGCTACTTCCACGACCCACCAAGATAATCATAACTGGTATGCGCTGCCTGCGCGCTCACGTCGCGCCAATTTCCGCGCCGCGAAAGCCGCGCGCCAGCGCGATGTGGAAAACTGTCTAACCCATCTTAATACCAGGTGATGCTCATCCCCTGCATGTCAAGTGAGCTGGATCTGCAATCGTCGCGCTAACCAACCCGGGAAAACCCGATTGCTCTAGCTCACTCACGCTTATGTCCCAGCCAGCTAGCGATGCGCACGGGCCACGGATACCACTCATGCAACTACCCATCTCAATCAGGATCACCGCATTGCCACCGCATTTCAGTCCGCGAGATACGCAGTCGGGATGCGGCCAAGGGTCCACCCAGGAAGGTCGAGTACTAAATACTGGATCCTGTACTGGAAGATGGCACGCTTCCCCATCTCGGGCCCCCGAAGTCCTAGGTCATTCCTGGCAGGCACAGCAACGCCCGCAGACGGCTGCGTAGTTGTTGCTTGACCGGGCACTACCATGACCTTCCACCCGCAGCACGCCGCCCGCGATTAGAGCACCTCGATGGTTTTCTCGACGGAACCGATCTTCCGGGCAAAGATGGCATGCGCAATGGTCAAAATAACTCGCTCTTTGATGCTATTGTGTCCACCATTGGCATCGAAGATCTGCACGCCTGCCGTTTGAAATGTTGCACTTCCTTGGACGGCCGAGTGGATATATGTTATCGCCTCGCGCATCATCACACCGCGCACCAGATTCGGGCGGAATCTCTGGGAGATCTAGCAACTGGGACCCGGCACTCCACATATCCCCCCACAGTTGGACATGCACGCACCTCGCTGCACAAATCTCCACAATCTCAGTCACCACTCAAAGGAACACCTGGTTCATGCGCGCTCGCTTCCCAAGCCTCCAGCCGATCCTCGGCTCCCGGGTTTCACAAGATTCGAGACTCAGCCGGGGTCAGTCCGGCATCTGAGACGACGCACCCGCGGGCACCCCACCCATTGGAAATTCCAGCCGCGCATCGTCTCGCACAGCATTCCAACAGCAAGGGGTCACGCGCAGGAGCACCTGCTTCACGCATGTTCCCCTCCAGCTTCTCCAGCCGACTCTCTCCTCGCGCGTCCCAAGAGTTTTTATCCAGAGTTGGCGGGTCTAGCAGCTAAGACGAGGTACTCCGCAGCATTCCATCCACCGCTGGAAATGCCTGCTGAGGGCCGCCCCGTACATCATCACGACGCGCTCGATCACTCGAGGAAGCACCTGCTTCATGCGTGCTCGCTGCTGCCAGCGAGTGTATGATTCGAGCCAAGACGTCAAGCAACCCCTCCACCGTTTGGTGACACATCGTCAGACACGTCTTTCCAGGTTGGCCATCTCCCGCACGCGTCTTGGAATCCTCAAGAAGTCCCGATTCTTTTTTCCTGCCTCGAACAGTTCCTGCTGCTCTGTCTCGTTACGCTCGTCGTAGGTCCGCTTGGCGGCCTCGCTGGTAGAAGCATCTGGCATCCGAACATCTGGCTGGCCAGTGCTACCAGCACCAGCACTTTTGCCAACTGGCGTTTTCATAATGTCGCGCAGGACTTTCCACTCAGGTTTCTCCAAGAGAGACTACAGCTTTCGGTCCTGAACCTTTCCATCTTTAGCAGGGGAAGAGCGCACGACCACAATAACCCCCGCAACACGACCGCCACAGCGCGAGACAATTCAGCGGCAACGTAATGGAAACAATCGAAAATCAACACAATGGTCGCCGCCCGGGCGCACGCCGCAAAGCGCGCGTCGACCCTGACTGGCAGAGCCACCCGGGTCGGGCGCGCGTCGGAACGGGGCGCCACGGGAACTAAAGTACAATACCCAAGCCGAGGGAGAAGAGGAAAGGAGGGGGGAGGAAGAGCAGACAAAATCGGGAGAGAACGCAAATCACTTTCGCAACGCAGCGGCTGGCAGCATGCATCGCGAGCCTCAGCGAGAGGGTCTCAAAGTCGAGGGGCGACCTGCATCATGAGCCTCAGCGAGAGGCGTCAGAGATAAGACGCGACCACACCGCGGTAGAGCCAAAGAGGTCGAGTCCCTTGCGAATGTGTTGTGCGTGCGTAATGCGCAACGAGTTCCACGTGCATGCTGGTTCCGTCTGGCCACGAAGACGGCGCCACCGCGGCTGCGGCGGGGGCGAAGACGATGGAGGCAGCGCCGGAGGGCGTTCCTGGAACTCGGGCGGCTATGCCAAGCCCCGATGCCGCATGCGCGCCGCGGCCGCCGCGCGGGCAGCGCCGCGTCGCAGCAAAGGCCGGCCCCGACGTGCCACCCTCCGGCGCTGGAGGTGTTCCGCCGCATGCTGCAAACGCTGGATGATGTCGGTCGCCGCCACACCCTCCTCGTGCCATGCCCTGACCTACGCCGACACCTTGATGTGCTCCAAGCTGTACAGAGACTGTGGCATGGACGGCGCCTCTAGCCATGCCGACGCCAACATCGTCAACCTGTACATCGAGCGCGGCGGGGCTGGCGGCGCGGATCGTCGCGCCACCTGGTCCGGTGAGCTCCGCTGTACGCTTGACTTCCACCTGCAGGGCTCTGCCCTCCGCCTCCTTAGCTGCCAATTGCGTGCGCCTCGGCCGAATGGCTCCTTGCATGTTGGCAACTTGCCCCTCCTCTTCTTAGATGTCATTATCCAGCGTCGACTTGTGCAACTGTTTGTTTCCCAATCTCGTGCTGCTTGCTGATGCACAGGTGTGAAGGTCCGCGTCTTCTGTTGCTTATCCAGGAGCCCCTGCAACTTTGCCCGAGTCGCCTTCTTGACGGTATCCACAGCTCCTTCAGACAACGACTTGAGGACGAAACCATGCTGTGCACTTTGCGCCTGTAACTAACCTCGTTTCGCCTGGTCGCCATCATCACCGTTGACTGACAAATCTGTCGGCATGCCCTTGCTGCCAGGCTTGGGCCGCGACGCAGAAGATGGGGGCGCCTGGGATTGAGCCTCTCCGCGCAAAAGCTCCCCGACAGCAGCCAGTCGCTTGATCGTGTCATCGTCGCCAGACTTCGGCGGTGGCCTGGCAAGCTTCCCTCCTCCGCCTCCGATCCCGTCGTGTGCCGTCCGCGCGGTCTTCTTGACCCGACGCGGCGCCTCGCCCCCGCAAATAGCAGTGCATGCGGGATGCCCAGTTCGCCGAGGCCGAACACCTTCCGCACGCCCGCGCGCGGAAAGCGCTCCGCCCCGTTGGCCGCCCAGGCCCACGGAGCACCGCGGGCTGGCTGGGCGGCGGCGGTCCTGGCGCCGTGCCTGTGTCGCGATCGCCCTCGGCGATTGGAACCGACCTCGGCTGGGTCGGAGCACGCGCTCCGAGCCTGGGCGGGCAGGCTCGCGAGGAAAAGTGATGTGAGTTGGCCGCGGAACAGCGGCATCCACTTGATTCACCTGAGAACTTTGCATCCTGAGCCAAAACGGCTGCGGGGCAGGAGGAGGAGGAGGAGGAAAAGGAGGAGGAGACGACGTACCCAAGAAGGTCCGTCCGACCACAGGCCTCGACCTCGGTCGAAGCACACGCCTCGACGGAGGGAGAGTGGGCCCCAGCTGGGCGGCGCTTGGGTTCATTTTCGGCCCCCAGAAGGGCGCCGCAACCCTTTGCAACTTCCGCCACCAGCAGGGCCAACAGAAAGATGGTGCTCGAAGCAGACCAGACGTGAAAGATTCGCATCGCAAGCGAGGGCAAAAAAGAAGGTGGAAGGAGAGAGCCTGTCACTGCATGACAGGCCCCGCCCCCTTCAAGAGAAAACCGAAAGGCACGGGGCACTGCGGGAGATTCATCGACCGCAACATGCCGATGCCTCTGGAGCCTCGAACGAGTATTCTCTATATCCTCTCGAGTATTCTAGGTCCTGCTCTGCTCTGCTCCACTGTACTCGATTATGCTCTACTCTGGACATATAGTCTTTTCAACTCGACTGTACTCTGGTCTGCTCCACTCTACTCTGATTCTGAGTTTGGCTATTGTTGGGCGATGAGGGCAGCCATTTAAAGAGCAGGGGTAGGCGTGCGGCTGTCGAGAACGCCCTGCCGATAGCAGGGAAAGCCATGCGGATACAGAGGAAGCCATGCGGATGGCACAAGAAGCCATGCATAAACAGAGGGAGCCATACGGATAACAGAGGAAGCCATGCGAATACAGAGGAAGTCATGCAGATAGCTTGACGATGCAAAGGCAAAATAGACGGGGGTCTGGTGGACAAGTTCTCGTTTGCTTGGGCTGGGCGCCCTTAGGCGAGCATTTCTGGAGAACATGTGACAAACGCATAATTAGGTACATGGATGTTCAATTTGTTCGCGGTCGCGTGGCGCTCGATGCGCTTAGTGGAGCCTCCCGTCGCTCCTCTCGCTGCCATGCCAACGCCTCTTTTGGCTTATAATAAGACTTACTGGCAATCTTGCGACCACTCGGAATCCGCTTGGGCCGCGGTATGTGGACACCTTCTTGAACCATCTGCGGAGCCCACTTGAGGTGCAATGCGCCGATGTTGCTGGACACAAACGGAAGCGGTGTTGTTTGAGTTGGGTGCTGCTGTGACCGCTGTAATTTCGTCTGCAGCTGCTTGCTGCTGCTAGGTTCTCTTAGATCCTGATTGGTGCTGCGAGGGTCGTGTGCTGATTTGGCTGCTGGTCGCTGCAATTCACGACTGCATATGTACTGCTGCTTGCCATTGATTGCTGCTGCGATTTGCTGCATGCTGCTGCTCGTATCATGCGTCTGTTCCTGCCTCGCAAGGGGGCTGCTGGTAGTCTCAAGACGGTCTGCGCCGGTTAGGGGTTTGGGGCTCTGAGCCTATCCAGCCGCTCGCTTGGGGATGGCCTCGGGGGGGGCCCTCGTGAGTAGTCTGGGAGCGTCTTGGGGCCCCTTGTATGCTCTCTTGGGTATCGTGGCGCCGTCGTGGACTGCCTCAGCGTTACCTCTTGGGCAGTGCTGGGCTCCTCTGGGAGACCTCTCGAGCTACACTGGGGTCATGCTGCGGCCATCTCGGTCTTGAGTCCAGGCGAGAAATGGATCGCGCTTCCAGTCATACGCTGAAGCGCCCCGAATCTGCGCCCCGCCCACCTAGTTCGATGATCCCACGGGAACCGCTTGGCGCTCTCGTTATGTGCTGGATCCTCGATCCGAGATCATGGATCTTTGTGTATGAGTTCCCGACGTGGCCCCACATGGCCTCCACATTGCCTTAGGGCCCACAAGCAGGCACAATGCCCCAAGAGCGCCCTCACAGGGCCTGTGGATGCCCGAGTGTGCTCCAAGATTACACTAAGAAGACCAAGGTCAGACCATGAAAGGGCTCCGGCTGGCCCGCATACATGCTCGAAGGACTCAAGAAGACGAATTCAAAAGAGCCCAAGTGGACCCAAAGAGCCACCAAGGAGGCCCGAATGGGATCCCAAGAGAGACCCAAAAGCCCCAACGAGGAGAAGGAGGAGGAAATGGAGACCGACGACGACGAGAAGAAGGAGGGAGCGTAAGCAACAGTGGCAAGGTTTTACGTAAGTTGATATGTCTAAACTTCGGGCAATCTGTATATCCAGATTCACTGCATCTTGGACTTTCTGGGAAGGGGGGGCAAAAGGCAAAAACGCAGTGGACATGGGCAAAAGTTGGGGCTCTAGGGGCCAGATGTTGATCAATATCCACTGGGACTCGGATGCCTGGCCAAGGGAGCTCGAAACTCCAAGATGCAGTTACTATGGATATACGTCTTGCCCGCATCAACCAGATGAAGAAGGCAACAGTGGAGTAGCTTTGGGCCTCAATCAGAAATGACACCAGATAACACCAAGTCCAAACACCATTGCAGCCGCGTGACCTCGCCGCTTGCGGTGCAACCGTTTCCCAGACAATGTTCCCCATCGTTAATCTGGCCGAGTGTGGTGCCAACGGGACATCATGCGGCTCCGCTGATGTTCATCGCTGGGCGAGCTCTTCGAGCTAGTGTACGCTCATTTCTTGTTGGGAACAAGCCGCCCCTGTTCAAGTTCCATCTCATGCTGTCGTCGGGCACGTGCCGCCAAACCTAGATATGTGTTTCATCAGCACCGCGGTACTATATCGCCTCGATATCCCAGCCAGTGCATGAACACGTACGGTCTACTGAGAACCAATTGATATATCACGCAACGTCGATGCAGCAGTGGGATCGTGATGATGTGCGACGCCGCGGAGAACATAACCCCTTCCGCGTGGACGAGGGCGTGAGATGATGACATCAGGACGGCGCTGGTGCACCCCGTGCGCAGAAGCGGCAAGAAAACAACACGGGGCAGCGAGACGGCAGGTCAAGCTCGGCCCGAGCTTGGGCCAACAACGGCCACGGAGGAGCAACCGGAGGAGGGGCAGGATTGGGGGCGGCAGCGGGAGGCGAGCGCCAATCATCACCACCGCCGCCGCCACCACCACGCCACCACGAGAGAGAGAGAGAGAAAAAAACAAAAAAACAAAAACAAAACAAAAAAAAAAAAAAAAAAAAAAAACCTTGGAGGTTCGCTCACAGTCCTTGGGATCGGCGGCGCTGGACCTCTCTCCCTGGCGCGCGGAGCGCGCCACGGGCGCCGCCGGAGGCGCCCACCGTGGGGGGCCCGGTGCCGATCCAAGAAATCCGCGCGGGGCTCCGGAAGACTGGGAGGCCAGCGCCAAATCTCATCACCGCCGCCACCGCCACGAGGAGGAGGAGGAGGAGGAGGAGGAGGAGGAGGAGGAGGAGGAGAAGGAGGGAGGGAGGGAGGGAGGGAGGGAGGGAGGGGGAGGGAGGGGGGGAGGGAGGGAGGGAGGGAGGGAGGGAGCTCCGTTCCCTCCTCGAAGACCATCGAGGCAGCGGCGCAAGTACGACGGAGGACGCTCGGGGAAGCACGGCGCGAACAGCAGCTGTAGCAATCTCGCGCAGAGCTCGCCTCTAGCCATCCACGCAGCCCTCCCTTGGTACGTATCTCCTCTGGGGCCTCACTGGGCAGAGAGTCTGGGGCTTGAGAGGGCCAGGAGTGGAGCGCAACACTTGTGTGTGACAAGTTGGCGGCCTCGCTCGAGATGCACAGCTCAGCTGCAATCGCACGGTGAAAACGACAATAATATATGGGGAGCGCGAGAGGGAGAGGGAGAGGGAGACAGAGAGAGAGAGGGAGAGGGAGAAAGAGAGAGAGAGAGACAGAGACAGCGACAGAGGACGGGAATGAAGGCGAAGGGAACGACCAATGCCGAGAGCGAGATCGAGAAGCAGAAATACAAATGATACCATAGCAGATCAAAGCAGGTCAAAGCAAGAGTGAAAGAAAGCCGTAACCCCAGGCTGCACGTCGCCAGCGTCGCCTCGGCGCTGCCCTTCCGCCCTCCCTCGCCTCTCCTCCCCCCGTGCCCTCGCTGCTCGCTGCGCCTCCTCCTTCTCGCTCCCTCTCCGCATCCCGCTCCGAGCCCCACAAGAGCAGCCCAGGGACGCCCAGGTCTGCAGCGGCAGCGAGGGGCACCCCACCGAAGACTGGGAGCCAACCGCCGCGCAACTTCTGGCGCCGGCATGGCGAGTGCCAAGGACGATCAGAGTTTCAGCGCGTCGCGCGGTGCCCGCCACTGGTGTCGATTCAGCCGGATCCCATGATGGGCATGACTGGGCCGCGGGATCAGCGCGCGAGCGGCATCGTAGCCTGCCCTTGCGACCGAGGCTGCTGCATTCAAACCTTGTGACCAATTCTTACTGCACTACGCCGACACAGACTCCCCTGGTCATCGCATTACGCCCAGTATTGGTGGGAGGGTTGAGGAAGGACGCGGAAGAGGTAGGGAATTCGAGGAGGAGGGCGGAGGAAGCGAGAAGGGATCGGGCGAAGGAGTGAGGGAGAGAGGTGCTGTGTTTGCCTGTCTTTATCTCTTGAACGTTGTTGGCCGTTCACTGCCGCGCGGCAGCAGAAGCTGCGTGCGAAGGGCCGCGGCTGTGCGGCGCGCTCCCGTGGTGTCGCTGGCACGCCATCGCGCCCCGTTCGATCCCGCATCTGCTCTCCAGAAGAGCCAGGGGACACGCCAAGCAAGGTACGGGTTGACTGGTGCAAACAAGAAGCCCGCCGCCCCTACCGCTAGGTCTGGGCCGATGCCGTTGAGAGGGAGTCGGGACACATCGGGGCCTGAGGTCGAAGGCTTGTTCGTCCATGCACTCCGATGGCACGTCGTGCCGCTCTGGTGCATAGGGGCACCAGCCCGAGCAGATCGTCGATATGGGTGTCGGCCCAGTGCGGCCTTCCTGCGCATCCCTCGCGGAGCAGAGCGTCGACCTGGGCGCCAAGGCTGGGTGCCAGGGCTGGATGGGGCGTGGCCTCGGGGGCAGGTCGGCAGCTCCCCGCTGCGCTGCGGCACGCGCAGCCGCTTGCCCACGTGCGCACGAGCAGGACGCAGAAGAGCCAATGCGGTGCCGCTGGCGGGCTGGCATGACCTGGGCCCCCGCCGCACCAGGGCAGCGGCACGCCTCCCCCTCGCCCCTGCTCTCCAGTGCCCCCCACGTGGCGCAGGGGACGCCCAGGCCGCCGCTGCCCAAGGGCTGCGGGAGCCCGACCCGCGGCGTCGTGGACGCAGCTGCCTGGACGGCGCGCCAGCCGCCGAGGCTCCACCGCGCTGGACGCCGCGGTGCGCACTGCGGCTGGCCCCCTGTCGGCGGTGCCGTCGGGGCGGGTGACGGGTCGACGTCGGGCCAGACCACAGATCTGGGGCCGGAGTCTGTACATGGGGCGCCCCAGGCGTTCCAGAGAGGGCCGCGCCCCTTCGAGGGGCTCGAAGGGTTGCGCCAATTCTTCGGCGGAGGGTGGTAGAAGGGCGGCGAAAGGCGGAAGCAAAACGGGAGAGGCTCCCTCGGCGGAAGCAGGCGGAAGGTCCGCCGAAGCGGGCGGAAGAAAACATCTGACCTCCAAGAGATGCACGTTTTGAGGTTCGGGGTTCCTGGAACCCGCCACATGTCCACCGCCTGGTGAACGGCGTCCCAGCACCCCAGGAAACAGTGGATGTGAATATCCTTGGACACCCTGGGGCCCGAGAATATCCGTGCCCACTGCCTCCTGGGGCCGTGGCTGGCTGCCAGGTGGGACACTGGTCCCTCGGGCTTCTCCAGCAGCGCTGCCAGGTCCTCCATCTGCGACTCATGGAGAGGCTCGGCGCGCCGATCGCAAAAACTGTTCCTTGGGTCGGCTCTGAAACCCTCTCCACACCCTCTGCGGGGAAGGGAGTTCCAGCGCCGATCCAAGACACCTGCGCGGACAACCGAGCATTCGAGCTTGTGCCGCTTTCGGTCACGCGGCTACGTTCAGGGCCATGTCGACATTCAGCTCGAGGGGAGTGCGAGCGGGGTGCCCTGGCGGGGCCCCAACCGTCGGCCCCCGCCCGCGCCGACCAGCCACAACTGGGGGAGCTGTGGCCCGTCACCCCCCCTGGGGGAAGCCATCACGTCGACGATCTCTCGAGAGGGGCGTCGAAGCCGATGGGCCCACAGAGGGGGGTGCAGCGCGACCGTGTCATGCGGGCGGGCGCCCCCGGATGCCCGAACCGAAGCCGAAGTTGGAAGCCCATGGCGCATAGCCGAGGGCCAGGATGGGCCCGAGAGGCAAGGGTGCGAGGGTAATCTCACCCCCGGCGCTCATCCTCACGGCCCCGTTTGGCTGCGAGGGGCACAGCTCCCACAGGTGTGGCTGGCCTGCCGCGGCGCAAACCGCCGGGCAAGACGCTCGTGGAGACCGCGCAAGGTGCCCGGTAGGGTTCGACCTAACCGATGTGGTCCGTTGTTCGTGTTCTTGTTGTTGCCCCTCGATCTGTCTTCGCTCCGCCTTTGCAAGACGAGCTCAAAACGAGAACGGCCCACGAGATCCCTAAAGCACCGTTTAGGTCCGGCCCCAGTGCCCAGTTTGGAGGTCGAGGCTAGACGCCAAGGCCAGATGACGATGCCAGGACTTTACGGTAGGTTCGTGTCGTGACGACCCCAGCGTTGGTTTCTGACGCCGCGTGGATCGTTCAATCTTGAACGATCGGCGGCTGGTCGATCGCCCGGTCGTTCCATATAGGTTGATTCTGGGCCACCGGCGGCTTTCAACCTTGAACGCCCGCGGCGGGGTCGCCGCCGGTCGACACGACGCGAACCTACCGTACTGAATTACTGTCAGGGCGTCGGAGCCGGGCGTCGTACGTGGACGAGGGCGCCCAGGGGGCGGGCACAGGGCAGCCGCGTAGCCATGCCCAGTCCTCCAACGTTGCCAACTGTTTCTCGCGTCGGACCCCAGGGCTTCCACAGCTCCCCTGGGGCCAGGTTCTCCTCCTGGGTCGCTCTTCGACGGCCCCGGGGCGGGGAAAACAGCCTCCAGGGGCCAAAAAAGCAGTGGAAAGCTGCGCGTCACGACGTCATTGCGTCGCCCGGGTCCGAAGGCGCACCTGCCGGCAGCCAGGGTCGGAGGAGGAGGAGGAGGAGGAGGAGGAGGAGGAGGAGGAGGAGGAGGAGGAGGAGGAGGAGGGGGAGGAGGAGAAGGAGGAGGAGGAGGAGGAGGAGGAGGAGGAGGAGGAGGCCCAGCTCGGAGCGCGGTGGGCGGAGTCATTAGGCCCCCCGGGCCCGAATATACCCACGCCCAACGCCCGCCGAGGTCCCCGAAGGTCGACCCCTCAGGCGGTGGTGTTGGACAAATCCACTCCTCGAGAAGAACCTGAGCCCCTTCTTGGCGGCGTGCAGAGGGTGGGTGGGGGGCAGGGGGGAGGGCCTCTTAGAGGCACCCCTGCTTCTCAGAAGGCGCGGGCCGCCCCCAAAGGCCGAAAATTTTGAAAAACCTACCGCCCTGATGTTTCCACGACGCGAGCACGTCTGGACTCCTACCTCGCCCGTTGCGTCGCACGCCGAGGGACCGAGGCCCCCGGAGGAGTTGTGCGAAGGCGCGCTCGCCCGGGCCGCCCGCGTCCGGGCAGCAGCCTGGCGGCGCCGCCCTCCCGTCTGGACGCCCGAAATGAGTACGGAACAAATGAGTACGAGGCCCAACAGCAAGTGTTGTCCCAAACCGACAGCGGCCGCTGTTGGGCAGGCGGCCTTCTGCCTCAAATGGACGGCATCCGCGGCGGCGCGGACAGCGAGTCCTGTTGAAGATTAAACGGAACTGCTGTTGGGCATCGATCGTACCCATTCATTCCGTACCCATTTCGTTCGGTCCGATCTCGGTCGGCGACGGGGGAGGGGGGGTGGGTCAGGACGGGATAGGCGGTTGGGCCCCTCGTGGCTTGCGAGAGGAGCAGGCGATAAGGAGGATCGGATCGGGATCGGATCGACTCGGCAGGAGGAAGCGTCAAGCTCCAAGCTCCACGGCGCCGCCTGGGGTCCCTCCATTGCTGGAGGGACCGCAAAAAGGGAGCACTGTCGGAGGCAGCCTGGCGGACGAGAACCACCCAGGCCCCAGCCATCCACCCTTCGAGAAAGGAGGAGGGAGGAGGGAGGAGGACGGAGAGGGAGGCGGAGCGTCGGCACAAGTCCGCCTGATCGTGAAACCTGACCGCTGTTGTGCTGCGCCTTCTGCAGCCTGCCCTTCGACGTAGCCGTAGCAAGGCGAGCGGCCCAGGCGTTCTCGACCGACTCCGCTGGGCCAGGAGCGTTGCCCCCAGCCCGAGCCCGACATCTTGCGTGCAGAAGGCGATGGAGAATGACCGCCGGAGAACGGAGGAGGAGGAGAAAGAGGAGGAGGACGGAGGAGGAGGAGGAGGAGGAGGAGGAGGAGGAGGAGGAGTTTTATGATGGTGGGGCCCACGGCCGACGGCCTCGCGCCGAGACGCGACAATGGACGACGGGCACCTCCCAGGAGGAGGGGGAGGAGGAGGAGGAGGAGGAGGAGGAGGAGGAGGAGGAGGAGGAGGGAGAAGGGGGGAGGAGGGGGGACGAGTGCCTCCGGCAGCGCCAATGTCGTAATAGAAACCCTCCCTCCAAGTTCCCTCTTCACAGGCCCCTACAATTATAATATATATATATATATTTATATATATATATATATATATATATATATATATATATATATGTATGTGTGTATTGAAATTGCGGGAAGTGGCCTATCAGAAGACAACCGTCTGAGAATCCTCAATCGTGCCAAGAGCACCGTTCCTGGGACTCCAACACCGCGCATCAACGAGAGCGTTGCGTCCTGACACTCCTAAATCGTGCCAGAAAGCCATTCTTGGGACCTCAGAGGGAACGCGTTTCACGGGCGCTCACTTTGGGAACATTCGGCGGCGCGTTTGAACGGGGGGTCACCCCCCAACATTCGGCGCCGTCGAACAGAACCAAGGGGACTCCCCTCCCCCCCAATCCCCGACCTCTCCCCATCCTTCGGCGCCGGGCCCCAGCGCGCTGGCGCCGGCGGCGGCGGCGGCGGCGGCTGGCACCGCCGACGCCCACACCCACGCCCGCGCCCACACCCACACCCACGCCCACGCCCACGCCCACGCACACCCCCACGCCCTTCCCACGTCCGCGCCCACGCCCACGCTCACTCCCGCGCCCACGCCCACGCCCACGCCAACGTCCACGCCAACGCTCACGCCCGAGCCCCCCCCCCCACAACACACACACACCACACACACACACACACACACACAACACACACACACACACACACAACACACCACACACACACACAACACACACACAACACACCGCGCCAACACCAACGCACAGCCCAAGCCCACCCACACCCCACGCCCAGCCCACGCCAACGCTCCGCCCAAGCCACGGCCACGCCCACGCTCCCAACCGACGCCCACGCCACGCCAACGCCCACGCCCACACCCACACCACGCCCACGACCACGCCCACGACCGCCCATGCCCACGCCCGCGCCACGCACGTCCACGCCCACGCCCCGCGCCCACACCCACGCCCACGCCCACGCCACGCCACGCCACGCCCAAGCCCACGACCACGCACACGCCACGCACGCCCACGCCCACGCCCACGCCCACGCTCACACGCACGCCCACGCCCAAGCCAACGCCTCGTCCACGCCCACGCCCACGCCCACGCCAAGGCCCAGGACACGCCCACACACAGACACACACCACACACACACACACACACACACCACAACACACACACACACACAAACACCCACACCACACACACACACACTCCACGCCCACACGCACGCCCACACCCACGCCCGCGCCCACGCCACACCACGCCCCCGCCAACGCTCCACGCACGCCCACGCCCACGCCCACGCCCACGCCCACGCCCACGCCCACGCCCACGCCCACGCCCACGCCCACGCTCACACGCACGCCCACGCCCAAGCCCACACCCACGCCCGCGCCCACACCCACGCCCACGCCCACGCTCACGCCCACGCCCACACCCACGACCACGCTCACGCCCACGCCCACGCCCACGTTCACGCCCACGCTCACACGCACGCCCACGCCCAAGCCAACGCCCACGTCCACGCCCACGCCCACGCCAAGGCCCAGGACAACGCCCACGCCCACGCCCGAACCCAACACACACACACCACACACACACACACACACACACACACACCACACAACACACACACACACACACACACACCACACCACACACACACTCCACACACACACACAACACACACACACACCACACACACACGCCCACACGCACGCCAACACCCACCGCACGCCCACCCCCACGCCCGCGCCCACGCCCAGGCCACACCCACGCCCACGCCCACGCCCCGCCAACGCTCACACGCAGCCCACGCCCACGCCCACGCCCACACCCACGCCCACGCCCAGGCCCACGCACGCGCCTACGCCCACGCCGACGCCAACGCTCTCGCGCACGCCCACCCCCACGCCCAGGCCAACGCCCGCGCCCACACCAGCGCCAACGCCCACGCCCACGCTCACGCCCAAGCCCACGGCCACGCCCACGCTCACACGCACGCCCACGCCCACGCCAACGCCCACGCCCACACCCACACCCACGCCCACGACCACGCCCACGTCCATGCCCACGCCCACGCCCGCGTCCACGCCCACGCCCACGCCCACTCCTACGTCCACGCCCACGCCCACGCCCACGCCCACGCCCACTGCCGCGCCGACGCCCAGGCCCAGGCCCAGGCCCAGGCCCACGCCCACCCCCACGCTGGCGCTGGCGCAGGCTCAGGAGAAGGGGGGGAGGGGGGTTCGAACGCACCCCCCCCTGGAGGGGGAAGGGGGGGGAGGTTCGAACCCCCCTCCCTTGAACCACGGGGTGGGGCGGTTCCGGACCCCCCCCCCTCTCCAAGCGCGCGCCCACAGAACGCGCTGTTTCGGACATCAACACCGCGAACCAACGTGAAGGTTGCGTCCTGGAGATCCTAAAACGCGCCAGAGCACCATTCCTAGAACGCCGACCATACAAACCCTTGAAACTGTTGCATTAAGACGACATGCGCGGCGCTATAGCGACGGCCACATTCCCCAAACAGTGCTTACACTTTGGGGTCCTTGCTTTTCCTCGAAGGAACTGGGCCTGCTTGTCGGTCTGGCGGCTATGTTGCCGCCGTCGCCGCCCCGTCGCCGCCTCGTCGTCACCCGTCGTGTGGGCCTGTCTATCGATCTGGCGGCTATGTTGCCGCCGTCGCCGCCCCGCCGGTGTTTCCTCGCCGCCCGTCGTCTGGGCCGTGTTGTGCATGGATGGCTTCGCATTGTCTTCCATCTCTTTACATCGTTTTGCATCGCTTTGCTGGCTTTGTATGGCGTTACAGTGATGTTGCATTGTGTTCGTTGCATTGCACCCAATAGATTACATCACTTAGCATGCTAGGAACCACTGTTTGGGGTCCACGCTGGCTAACATGTTGAGGGAGGTACGCCCTCCAACCTCAAAACAGCTGCACACTTCTGAAACGAATGAGCGCGGCGCTATGGAGACAACCAAATGTTGAAAAGGATCCACCCTCCATCCGCTAAACGACTGCAAACTTTGGAGACAAATGTGCGCGAGGCTAGATCGAAAGCCACACTTTGAAAACCATCCACGCTGCATGCGCGAAACTGCTGCAAACTTTGAAGATATGCGGCGCTGGAGCGACAACCACATTTTGAAAACGGCCCGCCCTTCGTCTGTGAAACTGTCGCAGACTTTGAAGACGAACGTGTGCGGCGCAAGCGCGGGAGCCTCATTTGAAAGAGGACCCACCCTCTATCCGTAAATATGTTGCACTGTTCAAGCTTCGAATCATTAGTGAGGAAGTCTCAGGCGAAACGCCTGGCCCGCCCTACCGACACGTCTGGCCTGGGGGTGCGACAGGCAGGAGTTATTCATCAGGAAAAGGGATGGAGGAAGAAGGAGGAGGATGGGAAGAGAGAGGAGGGAAAAGAGGAGGAGGACGCCTGCTGCCGCCGCTGCCAAGGCCAGGGGACTTCTTTTCTGCGGCACCTCTGGGCGCAGACGAGCTTAGGCAAGGATGCACCGGCTCTGGAACACGATCGGTTCGCGTCGGGCGGAGCCTGGGCGCGAACTGAGACCATTAGCCAGAGACGAGGGCTCACAACACGCGCGAGGGGTGGGAGGGACTGGGAGCGCGAAACTGAAAGGGCCTAAATGGCAGCGGAATGCGGCCTCTTCAACTCTCGGCACACGGCAATCTCCAACGAAGTAGGGTCCATGCCTGCTGCCGCCGCTGCCAAGGCCAGGGGGCTTCTTTTCTGCGGCACCTCTGGGCGCAGACGAGCTTAGGCAAGGATGCACCGGCTCTGGAACACGATCGGTTCGCGTCGGGCGGAGCCTGGGCGCGAACTGAGACCATTAGCCAGAGACGAGGGCTCACAACACGCAACCTTGCCACACTTTCCAGTTGGTCATCTCGACTAATTAGACACTGCAGGGGGAATCACAATCACGTAAAAAGGGGAGAGAGCTGTTTCGTCTTGGCGCCCCCGTGGGCCTGCTCGAAAGCGGCCGCGAGCGCACTGCAAAAGCGAGGGGAGTAGCGCTCGGCGGCCTTCGTCTTGAAACCACCTGCTGCTGCTACCCCGTGAATTGACGTGTGAGGCTTATTAGTGCGACTACAGACTTTCCCTGAACATCGACAGGCAAGATGTGCGAGAGAGATGCGATCGCCTAGAACACCTGTAGGTTTCTTCCACGGCGTTCCCCACTGACACATGTCTGTAATAATGAACGAAGAGGTAGCCCAGCTGCTGGCCTTTAAAAGACGAGGGAGGAGCCACAGACGCGAGCGGGCAGGATTCTTGATGGCGACAGGCAGAGCTAGAAGGTGCATGAGCTCGAAGATGCTACAGCAGAAAGCGGCCAACAGATTGCCGAATCTCACAGCCTCGAGATCGCTGGGATGCTTGAGGTCACTCAAGCCCATCAACTCTTGGTCACTGCGAAGACGGGATGGCAGGCAGGGTCGAGGGTTGTCAGGATCTCGAAGGGGCCCGGTGTCCGGCGCCCTCGTCCAAGTCTGACATGGCGTGCCCATGAACACGCCCCGCACGAGCCCGGCCAGAATCCAGCCTCTCACCAACTTCTGCGTGGCACGCTGGCTCAAGTCCCACTGCGGCCCGCGCGTCTTGTCCCACTCAAGGACGAAGAAGCCGCGCGACCGCAGGCTGTGAGACAGGCCTCCGTGCCCGCTGAACAGCTCTAGAAACACCTGCGGCTGGACGAGGCGGGCACCCCTGGAGGCCAGGGTGCGAGCAAAGGCCTCACGAGGGCCGACCAGAGCGCTGCGGTCGAGCCGACTGCCCGCTCGCGGGCGGCGCTCGGCAGCCTCTGCAGCTGCTCCCCCAGGCGGCCCTCCTTCTGGTACCTGCGCACGCTCGAGTCGCAGTGCCACCGCCCCCGCAGCTTTATCTCCTGCAGCGTCCGCAGCCCCCGCGCCCGGTCGCGGCTCGGCCCGCTGTGCCGCAGCATGTACAGCTCCGGGCCCAGGCACTCGACGCCGGCGCGCACGGCCGCGGCCCTGAAGTTGCGGACGAGGTCCGCGTGCAGGAAACCGAAGACAGGCTGCCTTGGCGGCGCGCTCCTCGTGAGGAAAGCGAGCACGCTGTGGAGGAAGCTGAACTCCGCGAGGTCGAACACCACGGTCTCGTCGAGCTCCCTCGTCTTGCTGCTCACCTCCTCCTCGGGCGGGCGTAGGGCAATGGCCCAGCTCGCGATGTGCGTCCCGGAGGTGGGCGAGACGATCATCTCTGGCGTGACCCGCCCCAGCTCGCTGGGCCGCAGGTAGCAGTGGAACGCGATGACGACCCACGCAGCCATCGCCCAGAAGCCCGCGGCGACCAGCTCGAGCGCGATCAGCGACACCACCTGTGCCGCCTGCGGCAGCGCGAGGCTGCCCGTGCGGCTGAACTGCGGCCGGAAGAACTTCACCGCCGCCATCGCCTTGGTCCCGTGCTGCGACAGCTCGCCGGCCAGGTACTCGCGGTCCATCCAGCTGGCCAGCAGGCCGTCCATGTCGTCGCCGCTGGGCACTGGGGTGGCGCCGGTCACGCGCGCAGTCGCTGCCCACGCCCGAAGGATGTCCTGCCACAGCGTGTCGCACTGCGCGACCGTCCTCGGCGTCACCGAGGCCCTCTGCAGAAAGGTCCCCCCTGTGGCCAGAGGCGCGGCCCGCGCCCGCCGGCGAGCCGCGCGAACAGCTCGCTGCGCCGGCGCCGTGCGCCCCTGCTGCCGCGCCGCGGCAGCAGCCGCCCCGACGTGGCGAGGCCGGCGCACCGCCGACTGAGCAGGATCGCCCCCGTCGGCCGCCCGCTTGCCCCGCAGCCGCCGGGGGGCGCCGGGCGCCCCGGAGGGGGCCGCTGGCGGCGCCACGGACGGCCAGCTCCTCGAGCTCCGCCCACGCGGCCGCGACGTCGGCGCGCTGGCTGCGGAGGCTCCCGTCTCGCACGTCCCAGCGGTCGAGGTCCAGCGCCGAGGGGGATGTGGCGGCGCGACGGAGCATCTGCAACGTTGCGCTCCGACGGGATCCAGCGGACGGAGGCCTGCACGCCTCCCGCCAGGCACCAGGCAGCCCATTGCCGGGCGATGCGGAGGACCCCCCCAGCCGACGAGCGTCCCTTCTGCAAGGCACATACGAGCCATGTTGTCGGACAGGAAAAGGAGGCGACGACCAAAAGATTTCGAATCTCGAAGAGCGTGCCTGAGCGAGTGAACGATAGCCCGACCCTCAAGGACGATGATGTTCTCAGCCCGGGCCCATCCTCCACTAGACACCACCTGCCACCTGCCCCCGTACAGCTCGCTCGAAACCTCCTGCACCTTCCACCTCTCGCCCTCCGTGCTCACCCCCTCGAAGTCGTCGACGATCTCCGGCCCCTCCGCGGGATCCCCGGGACCACCGAGACAATCGCGAGGTCGAGAAACTCCAGGATGACGAAACCTCCACCTCTCCTCATCACGACCCGCAGCCCTGACAAGCTCGACGTCGGCCTCCTTCTGGCAGACCCCCCCCCCCTCCTCGCTCGCGTCGCTCGCATACACCATGGGGCCCCAGGGCGCACGAAGGTCAGACCAAGCCAGAGGGAGGAACGCGGCAGCCCACTGAAGTTCACGTCGAACCGAAGGCGGGATTTTCATGACTCGGGAGAAGTACTTCCGGGAGAAACTGCACACGGCACTGAAGACGGAGAGCATCGGCCTCTGAGCGAGAGCAATGAAAGCATCATGTCCAGCAACCTTTCCGATCTGGCGACCCGTGGCGTACCCCTTCTTCAAGAGCTCCAGAATCCCCAGCCTCAATCTCCAGACACGCTGACTCTTGGGGCGCAAGACCCCACGCTCGCCGTCGAAGACCCAGCCCAGTTGCTCCGAAACGGTGACGGGCGCCTCGGTCGGGTGCACTGGCAGGCCCACACCTTCAAGGGCTTTTCGAGCTGCGTCCAACATCTCACCAGGCCTCTCGGGCCCCGTGCCGAAGGCGACGAAGTTGTCGACGTAGGCCGTGAAAGCTCCCTCCCTCGCATCCGCAGGCGGACGTCCGTCAACGATCTCAGCTGCCCCAGGGAGGTCCCTTTTTCCAGCACGATCGAGCGGTGCACCCGCTGGCAGAAGTCGAGAGCGCGCGACCAGCCCATTGGCAAGACCGCCAAGCACGGGCGGACCCAGGCTCGGCTCGACACGGACCGGCCCTCGACGACCTTGAGGCCAAGGTCAGCGGCACGCAATCGAGGAAGAGCAAAGTAACGTCGAAGTTCACAAGGCAAACCCATGTTGTAGAAAGCGTCGGCTATGTCCACGCCCCCTGTCCACAACTGCTCACCCTCTTGCAGCTCCAGGCGACTGAAGCTGGCCCCGCTGGCGAGGCTGGTCTTGTTAGGTTCTGCAGAATGCAAATTAGATCCCCTGCAATCGATCACCAAACGTTGGCGACCGTCTTTCTTCCAAACTGCGAAAAGCCCGACCTCTTCGAAGTCGCCCCCGTCGAGCCTGAAATCCAGCATGTTAGCTTTGCTCAGTCGGCTGATGCAGGCGAGGTAGTCTTCACGCCGACGGAGAACTGGATCCAGGCACGGCCGCACAAAACCCGAGTCCTTCTTTGCCTCAGCGGCATCATGATTTGATAAAACCTTGGAAGAAATTAACCTCCGCACGATGTCTGGACCGTCTTTCCCGGGCAGCTGGTCCAGCGGCACCGGGGCGCCACCGACAGCCGGCAAGGAGACGAGGTCGTGCACGAAGGGGGCCGCCGAGACGGGGTCGCAGCCCCCGTAGGCGGTGCCGACCTGGAGCTCCCGGAGGGCCACCTCGGACGACAAATCAGAAGGCGGAGCGCCCATCGCCGCGCAGCTTTCGGCGAGGCGCTCCAGGCATAGCTGCTGCATCCTGCTGGGCTCGCCCTCACACTGCCTGCGAACGAGGTCTGAGCCGGCATCCAGCTGGTTGAGCGCGACGACGAGCTCGGTGAGAAGCTCGCCCTGATGCGCTCGATGCCCACGACGACGTCGAGCAGAGCGCGCCCGCGAGGCGCCGCCAGGGGCACGGCACCAGTCAGGGACTGGCAAAGGCAGAAGCGACCGCTGCACATGTCCGTCGCTGTCCACCAGCCTCTCCAAAGGTTCGCCACCGGGTCGAGGCATCCCCGGCGGCGGCCCCAGCATCATCCCGTCTTGGGAGGAGCGCCCTTGGCCTTAGCGGCGGCGGCCTGCTCCTCCCTCAGCTTCCCGGCGTTCTTCTTGATGCTTGAGATGCGTTCCAAATCCTTCGACACGGTGTCGAGCAGCTCGGGGCACACCATCGAAGGCGCACGCGCCCCGCCCATGAAGGCCTGGCTCTCCTCCAAGGGGATATTGCTGTTGTTCTGCTGCTGCTCGGCACTGCGGTCGTCCCCGTAATGCTCAATCAACTGGAGCTTGCGATATCCGATCTCGGCGCTCGCCAAGTTGAAGACGTCCAGGTGGTCCGACACGCCCATGGCCTCAATCATGCGCGAGAGCGTGTCGTGCATGTCGACGCCGAAGTCCGTCGAGGTGAGCTTCCTGCGGCTTTTCCACATATCATGATGGAGCGCCGGACCACCTTCCTTCACCTGGTACTTTGCACACCATGCGGCTGTCCGCGGCCCTGGCACCGCGAAGTCGGCCACCGGCTCCTGGTGGCACAGCTGGACCACCTCGCGCCAGTCACGTGCCGGCCCGCTTGACGCCGCAGACGCCGCGGGCACCTCTAGCGTCCTCGCGTCGTTGCCTCGGAACTCCTGCCTGAAGTACGCCACCTCGCTCTGCTGCAGCAGGACCCCGAAAGCGGAGCCTCCAGCGGGGAGCGCGAAGCCGCCTCGGCGCCAGGACCGCCAGACCAGCTGCACTCCCCCGGCGACACCCACCTGTAGCTCCGCGCCGAACGCCACGAGCCCGTCGACGTCCTCCGCGACCACCCACACCCAGCCTGGCGGCGCAGCCCCAGAGGGCAGCGGCGGGACGGGGGCGCCGTCAGGCACCGCTGGCGCACGCCCAGGGGCAGCCGCCACGGCCTCCCCCGGCGCGGCCGGGCCGACGGCCGCGGCGGCCACTGGCGGTCCGACCACCGCAGCAGGCACCGCCTCAGCTGGCGCCGCCGCTGGACCCGCGATGGCCACCGCAGGGGCCAGGGCCGCGACTGGGTCCGCGACCCCCAGCGGCCCGGCAGGATGCCCCTCGCAGCTCGCGGCCGAGAGCTCGAGCATGAAATGCGAGTCCGGGAGCACGCCGAACCCCGCGGCCGCTCCCCTCCGCAGCGCAGCCCACAGCTCCGCCAGCGACGGCAGGCGGCGGAAGCGATACGTCCGAGCCTCCACGATCCCGCCGGCGCGGCCGCCCTGCCCCGCGATCGGCCGCACGCTGTGGATGTCCACGTCCGGCGTCAGCCCTTCTCCGTAGTCGTCCATGTCTGGCGTCAGCACGTAGCCACTCCCGTAGAGGATCTCCCGCTCGTGGTGTACCTCGACCCCGCCGACGTTGTACCTCGTGAGGCAGAAGCCTCCAGCACCAAGCGGCGCCGCCATCACTGCCCAGCCGCCCGCGGCCGACGGAAGGCCCTCGCCTGCGCCGCGGCCACCGCCTGCACGTCCTCCAGCGCCTCCGCCTCAGCTGGCACCGCCAGCGCCGTGGCGGGCGTCCCAGGCGCCGCCACCGGGCACGGCGCGCTGGCGCCCGGTGCCGGCCGGGGGTGCAACGCCCAGAGAGCGCCCGCGGCGCCTGCGGCGGCCCCCAGGAGGAGGCAGGTGCTGGCGACCACCGCCAGCGCTGCCGCCGAGTACCCCTCCGCGGCAGTGGGGTTGAGATACCCCTCGCCCCCAGGGCAGGTGCAGGTCAGCGGCGGGCACGTCAGCGCGGGAGAGCAGACACAGTCGGGGCACGACGGGACGCCTGACCGCACCACCAGCGCTGTGGTGGCGGCCTGCGTCAGGTCGCGTGCCAAGGCGTCCAGCCCCCACGGCATGCACAGGCGGAAGGCCCCTGTTCAGCGCGAAACTGAAAGGGCCTAACTGGCAGCGGAATGCGGCCTCTTCAACTCTCGGCACACGGCAACCTCCAACGAAGTAGGGTCCAGGAGGAGAAGGAGGGGGAGGAGGAGGAAGAGGCGGAGGTGGACGAGGAGGAGCTGGAGGAAGAGTAGGTGGAGGAGGAATCGAACTCCCAAGCCGACAGCGACAGCGACAGGTGGAGGAGGCGGATGGATGGAAGGGTAAAGGGAGGAGGGAGGAGGGCGGAGGAGGAGGAGGAGGGCGGAAGAGCAGACGGAGGATGAACAGAGGGAGGGAGGAGGAAGGAGGAGAGATCGGAGCAAACGAGGCTCACGGAAGGAGCGGAGAGGCCACGGGCCGCAGCGACAGAGCGACGTGGAGGGGAGGGGAGGAAGAAGAAGATGAGGAGGATGTTGTGGATGATGATGCTTCCACTGTTGATGATGATGATGATGATGATGATGATGATGATGATGATGATGATGATGATGATGATGATGATGGTCCAGACGCCTCCTGATCGCGGACTCATGATCGCGGACTCCTGATGATGGTGTTGGTGATGATAATAATGATTGTGATGATGATGATGATGATGATGATGATGATGATGATGATGATGATGATGATGATGATGATGATGATGATGATGACGATGACGATGACGATGATGATGAGGAGGGAGGCGCCCGCCGATCGGTACCGCGCCCCCTACACAACCAGCCCCCCGCGCCCCACGTCGGCCGCCGCGCCGGCGCCCCCCGCGGCCGCCGCGCCGGCGCTGGCCGCCGCCGAGGCGATCCAGCGGCGCATGGCATCTCGCGCCATGCGCTTGGCGCGCGAGACCTCTGGCCGCGGGCGGGCGGCGTCGAAGCGCAGGTCCTCACAGGATCAGTCAGCATCGCATCGACACAGCGGACGGAGCCGAAGTCTGCACCGCCTCGGGCAGCACCGGCACGGAGTGGAAGATCGAGTCGGATCGGCAGCGCCGGGATGCACAGCAACGCCATGCAGGCATCGGGCCGCATCGCGCCGTCGGAAGATCGGGACAGAATCGGGTCGGGTCGGCAAGAACAGAGACCGAATCGGATCGGTCGGATCGAAATGGGCCCCGTCCTCGTGGTGCGCCGCCGCGGGGATGACGCTGGGAGGCTGCGAAGGGTGCCCCTGGCCCACGATCACGAGCGGCAAATGCATCCATGTACACGCCCACGCGGTCTGACTTCTGGGGCGCGATCCCGCGGATGCGAGGTCGCACGGGTACGCTCCGCCAGGGGCATCCGCGAAACAAATGTACGTTTCCGCAGGCTCGCGGCCCAGTGGCATGGCCCGCGAGGCCGCGTATACGGATATGCTCTTCGCCCACGACAGAAGGGTCCCTGGGCTGTCCGCTCCACGTTGGAGCCCCTGGCCGCCCTCTGGGCCTCGCGAGGGGTGCCCTGAGGCCGGGGGCAAAGGAACGAAAGACGGCATGACCATAATTTCTGGAAGTCCGCGCGCATCTCTCGCATCGGCGCTGGATCCCCCTCCCCTGGCGCGCGGGGCGCGCCGGAGGCGCCACCGGAGGCGCTGCAAGGGGGGGCCCAGCGCCAAACCAAGGAATCTGCGCGGGCCTCAGAGAAAGTATGTTCATGTAATGTAATATTGTTTTTCGAAAGGGGGCCTTCTCTGAGATCCCGGCCTTCCCCGAGGGGGGCGTCCAAGAGGAGTGCTTGGCAAATCATGGTCGGTGGCACGTGCGCGGCCCAGGGGGGGGGGGGCCAGGGGACGTGCCGAGATGAGAGGAGGCGCCCTGAAATCTGGGGAGGTACCGTGGTCCCCGCCATGAGATCCCCCCGCTGGCCATCGCCCCCTCTTGGCCGCCCCCCGAGGCCAGGGCCACCTGTGGCAGCACCCGGGGACGTGGTGCTGGACGTCCACGCCGGGGCGCAGCCGCTCCACGCGCACGGAGCCCGTGCGCCAGGGGTCCTCGGGGGGCGGGGAGCAGCGGCGCGTGCTGGCCAGGAGCCCACGTGCTGCGCAGGCCACGGCCCCCGCAGCCCGCCAGCAGGGGAGATGCAGGAGGTGGGAGCTCAGAGAGATGCAGGGAGAGGTCGGTGCAACGCAGGCGTGGGCGGCGAGCAGGTGCCCTTGACCCAGGCGTGAAAAAAAAGAAAGGACGAGGCAGCAGCTACATCTCATCAGAACCGCTTGCACAGAAACCTGTGACAAGCCCAGAGCACGAGGAAGAAGAGGCTGGAATGGGGGATGGGGCGGGAGGAAGGAGACACGCGAGCAGCGCTCTGTTCCAGGCGAGGACCCAACCAGAGGGAGGGCTGGGCGTAGACCGGGATGCAGGAGGAGGTAGGGAACGAATATGAAGACGAAGAGGAGGAGGAGGAGGAGGAGGAGGAGGAGGAGGAGGAGGACAAGGAGGAGGAGGAGGAGAGGACGGAGATCACAGTGCCTTGCTCCAAGCAAGAACCCACCTAGAAGAAGCTTTGGGAAAAAGATGTGTACCGAGAGCGGCGCGTTCTGACCAGGCGCCCGGGGCATATGATCCAGCCGTGGCAAAGAGCGAGGGGCAGCGGTATCGGTATCTCGTCCCCCGCCCCCGAGTGTGAGGCAGGGATATATCAACATCCCCCGCCTTTGGAACCGACGCCCTGGGAACCCAGCGGGTTTTGGATACGCATGTGGATATATTTATATATACATATATATATATATACATACACATACTCATACACATACAGTAAGTATACATACAGACAGACAGACAGACAGACAGACAGACAGACAGACAGACAGACAGACAGGCAGACGGACATACCTGAATACATAGATACATTCATTCATACATACACACATACTACATACATGCATACGTGCATACACGCAGACGTGCATGCATACATACGTACATGCATGCATGTATACAGGCATACCTACCTACCTACCTACCTACCGATCTACCTACATGCAATGTGCAGTGCAAACTCTGGCTGGGAGCGGCGGGGCAGCGCAAGGCTTCTGATTATTCTGCCGCGCTGGATCGCACTGTCTTCCCTCAGGGGGGGGGGGGTGATGGGGAGGAGGGGGAGGAGAAGGAAAAAAATATAAGATGGGTGAGAAGGAAGAGAAGCTAGATAAGACGAGTGCGATCCCGACGGTGATGACGGTAATGATGACGATGATGATGAGGGGCTGGCGCAAAAATCCTCAATCCAGAACCCTTATTAAGGGATCCGTTACAAGGTACCTGGGAAAAAAAGGGGTCCTAACAACAGCTCTTTACAAAGGGAATCCTTCATGAATAACCCGAAGTACAGAACGCTGACCAAAGAATATTCTCCAAGAAGCCATTACGAATTAATAGTTACAGCTGGATCCCTATGATCGAGAAATCCATGTAGAAGGACCTTTTATTGAGAAATCCACAATGAAGAATCTGACAGAAAGAACCCTGAACAAGAATTCTTCGTCGAAGGAACCCTTAAACATGAATCTCGCAAAGAGAGTATTTGATACAGAACACGATGCTAGGAACCTGCCATAAGGAGTCGCCAAGGCATTCGTCATAAAGAATCCGACATATGTCACTACTTCTCGACAGTATTGCCCTAAGAACCCTTGCAAAGAAATCTTCACTGCTGTAACATCACGGCGGAATCCTGCATGTATAACCCTTGCTGCAGAACCAAAAAAATGGATTAAGGAATCCGTGATAAGGAATCTTTACGGGGGAACCCGTCATACGGAATCCTGAATAAGGAGCCTTGACCAAGGAATGGTAAGTCATCAAAATGTCCCAAGAAACCCGTGCTGGAATATATTCACTAAGGAACACAGAATGAAGAAACTGCATTAAGAAATCCTGAACAAGAAACATACTGCAATCTGGCAAGGGGAGCAAATATACTGGAATCAAGGGCTCCCTCATAGGGAGTCAAAAATATTGAACTCCTTAACAAGCAACCTACGGACCCTTTGTAACACGGGTTCAAAGCTACTGAAATGTGAGAATGGGTCCTGTAAAAAATTCCAGCGCAGGCATACACAATAAGGACACCATATTTAAAACTAATGAATAAGGCATCCGAAAGCGGAAGATTGTAAACATAATATGCCTACAGAAACCCTAAAGAAGGAACCCCTCGTAATGCATAAGATCTGCTTAGTCCATGTTCGTGAGAAGTCCGATGAAAAGAATCAGGAATAGGGAGTCGCTAAGAAATCCTTAATAAGGAATCTCAAATAACGGGCCCTGACTAAGGAATCTGTACTAGGGAACCCCAGACTACACATCTGTATTCGGGAACCCTTTTTTTACCAAGGAGTCTTCACGAATGAATCCTTCATACGGGTCCTGACCGCAGGAACCCTTAATGGTCAGGCGTCCCCATTCTCAATTCAAGAAAACGCTGTGTATGGTTTGCTTGTTTGGCTGTTTTGCTCCAGGATGCGTTTTTGGTTGTTGCTTGACTTTGCGAGGGGTGCTGCAAAGGAGGCCGCGGCGAGCACTGGGGCCTGCAAAACCCCCAAAAAGTGGATCGTGGTTCCACAAACCAAACACATGTTTCCTGACACCAAAGGCGCCAACTACTGCGTACGGTGCTGTCGATGTTGTGGTCTGGGACGCAAGGGGAACTGCATATGTGTTGTTCTTTTGGTTTTTCCCCATCCCTCCTTGGTTGGGTATTCGTTTTAAATCGAACACCGCGGTCGCGTCTCCGTCCTCCTCCTTCCGCCGCCTCCCCCCTCCTGCCCTCTCTTCGCCGTCGTTGGAGGGGCTGCAATCTGCAAAACTGTCGCCATTTTCGAAGGCTGCTGGCGGGTCCAGCAGGGTGAGGCACCGCGCAGACATGAGGTAGACCTCGCCGTCGCTGGGGGGCTGCGATCTGCGAAACTGCCGCCGCTTTCGAGGGCTGCTGGCCGTCCCTGGGGGGATCTGCGAAACCGTCGCCACGTTCGAGGGCTGCTGGTGGGTCAGCAGGAGCGCCACAGTTTGCTTGAGCTACAGAAGGCACGCGTACTTGCCCGCGTTGCGTTCCGTTCGCAAACCTTCATATATACAAGGGCCAATAATCCATGCAACAACATTGGTAACGTTACGTCACATACAACCTCCTCATTACCGCAATCTTTTTCCCCTGAGCAGCAACCTCCACCTTTGGTGCGCCACTGCGTTCACGATGTCATTTGCCTGGCGATGCCGCACTGCGTTCTCGTCGAACGGCACACCTGGCCGAACCCAATATGTCATGTCAGACTCGTCAAGCCAATTACCATTGCACCGCGTCTCCAGCAATACTCGCTGAATTGTAGTAGTTGCGCCTCTCACTGTGAAATATCGAAGAAGGAAACTGCGTCGTGCAATGCTCTCCTCGTTGGGCAACCCTACCCGAACGCAACGAAACTCGAATGCGTCATGCAATAAGCAACATCGAAGCCCCTTTCAAAGCCGCAGTTGTAAACATACTCCTCGTTGTGTTGGTGATGCCTGTGGTGACGTCGTCCAGGGAATTCAACACTGCCAACCTCACGCGCCCCAGCCTGTGTTGACAACAATGCGACTGAATTGTGCGAAGCTTGTCGGTCACCCACCTTGCCCACCGAACTGTCCTCCCTTCGACAACTAAGTTCGATAGGTGTCTATGTATAGCCGTGGTCCTCGTGATATGTTTTGTTTGGAGCCTTGGAAGGCACACGGCGTCAACCTCACCAGTGACTGCCATGATAGACTCTGGCGTGTCCCGGAACAAACTGCCGAGGTGGGAAGCCGTGCTGCCGATCAACATCGTGTACCGACTTCCGCTTCAACCTCAGACTTAAAAAGATAACCCCGTTTCTGTTCATACTGTAGAACCTGTATGGACATCGAAGCCAGGAAAAGGGCAATGCATTCTCGAACGGTTCTACATCAGGCCTCGAACCACTGCTGCCGTCTAGCTCGATTTCTTGTGTCGAATATATTTGCCTAATCGTCAGAGGGCTTTCGTCGCATGATCGTAGGATTTGTCATCTACAAACGCAAGAAACTGAAGCAAAGGGGTTCGACATTACCAAGCTCACGGCGTTCCGATCACTCCGGTCAAATAAATACGCGAGTGCACTGGGTTGACGTTGGTGTGCATCGGGCGTGCGCCTGGGCATGCGTACATGAAATGCTTGCACGCCGCTCGGAGCATACAGGAGCTTACGGGCGTCGCCCCGCATATAATCAGAAATCACAGTTTGAGCAGGATCCAGACCTGAAGACTTCACAGCAACCAACAGCTCCGAAAGGAAATCGGCGAGAGGGTGTATGAAGCCATGCTTGGGCACCTCGCACAACGATCGTGTCACATGTTGAAGCACCCCGTACAATACATAATACATCACACCTCTCTCGAGTCCGGAGCCGCTTCACCTCCAGCGAAGCCCGCGCATCTTCCAAATCCGCCCCTCGCTTCTGGAGAGGCAACATCTGCTCTCCAAGGGCCCGCGCTCATGCCGATAACACCGTCGGCATGAAGCCCTTGAGCTATAATGGTCTTGTACGGGGGGGGGCACTGCGAGAAAACATGTCATGGTCGCGATACTGCCACATCAATATGAAGTTGGGTGCAAGCTGTATGCTTTATCTGGCCAGAAAAACTGCTCACGTCGGCGAAGAACCCGACCAGTTCTCTGGCGAACATCCCAACCAGCTCATCTGGCGAAAGACCAACCCATCAGTCTGCCCACACGTATCGCAACATTTACAAACCCACCACCCGCATTCCTCAGTGAGTCACTGCCCTGCCAGAAACTCCAGAACACGCAACCTATGCAATCCCCTAGACAGCCTGGTGGCCCCAAGACAGCCTATGATGGCCCCGAGACAGCCTATGGTGGCCCCAAGACAGCCGATGCTGGCACCAAGACAGACCTATTGTGGCCCCAAGACAGCCTACGGTGGCCCCAAGACAACCTATGATGGCCCCAAGACAATCTACAGCAGCCCCAAGACAGCCTATGGTGGCCCCAAGACAGCCTGTGATGGCCCCAAGACAACCTATTGTGGCCCCCGAGACAGCCCACGGTGGCCCCAAGACAACCCTAGGTGACCCCAAGACAATCTACAGTGGAACCAAGACAGCCGGTGCTGGCCCCAAGACAGCCTATTGTGGCTCCAAGACAGCCTCCGGTGGCCCCAAGACAACGTATGATGGCCCCAAGGCAGCCGATGCTGGCCCCAAGACAGCCTCTGATGGCCCCAAGATATACAAGCCCGCCTTACCACATCATAGCATACAACAACATTTCCTAGCACAGCGTGCTAGTATGTACACCTGTTGTTGTTTGTATTATGTTTGCTAACATCGCATGCTGCGGCACTATGTCTTTTTCCCACGACTATGTTCTGACTATTCTGACTTAGCTTGAAGTAGGACAAGTCGCGGGATACTATTTTTTGAGTATCGTAATTGATGTCCTGCATAAGCAGTTCCTACCGGATGTTGCCATTGCAAGGCTATGTCTGAATCCCCGCCTCGGACCGAATCGCGGCCCCTTCCCCCGTACACGAAAATGGCATCTCCTGGGGGCACGATCTTTTCGCACCACCCCGGAAAATAGCTGGTCTGGCACACGGTACGCGGATGGGGGCGGTGGCCATGTAATCGGCCCCCGAGAATCCTTCTCGCCGTCGGTAAGGAAGAGGCCACCCACGCGGAGGTCAGAGCCCCCGAGGCTCAGGGGCAGCCACTCCGGGCGCGGCGCGACGCCGTAGCGGAGCCCGCAGGAGGCGGCCACGGCCGCCAGCTGGCCGTCGGAGGGTGGGAAGAAGCCGAGGCCGTCAGAACTGAGCACCTTTCCGTGGCAAACCCCTCTCGCAACTCCCCTCTTCCACGCAGTGAGAGTCACGGCATCCGGGACGTCTGATAGGGTGACCTGGAGTCCCGCACCCTTGCCCGGAAGCTTCCCTTCCCCTTCTGGCGGGACAGCACGTTCCGCGCCGTTACCTCCTGGCGGGCCACCACGTCCAGGAGGGTCGCCCCCCGGTGGGCCTCCGCCTCCAGGAGGCCCCGCACCGCAAATCATGGGAGCCCCCCGTGCTCCTGCACATCCCTAATCCAAGCAGCTCGACCACCGATCGGGAGGCCCCGAGGCTGCCCAGATGTTGCCCCAGGATGGCCCAGTGGCGGCGAGGCGTTGCCAGAAAAAAGCTCGAACAGGGCAGGTCCCCAAATAGGCTTTCAAACTGCCTCCTGCTCCTCCTCCTGCGGCAACGCCTGGGAGCCTCCCAGGCCATCCTGCTGGCTCTTGCAGACCGACGCTGACCGACGCCAGTCGAAGCTGACCGACGCCAGTCGACACTTCTTGGCGCAGAGCTGAGGCTAATCGACGCTATGCATCGGAGGTTCCTCGCCGACTGTCAGGCGCGAGCGCACGCCAGTGCACTCTCAAGACGGAATAGCGAGGGCACTCAAGGCTCTCATGAGGCAGGTTCAGACAAAACCCAAACAACTTGCCATCTCTTGGGAGGCAGATTTTTACTTCTGCCGCTTCCCCCGAGCTTGCGCCGGCTTCCGCCAGCAGAGGCGGCCTCGTTTTACTTCCGCCGCCTTCTGCCGACCGTCCGCCGCCTTCCGCCGAGGAAGGAGTATCAGCCCCTTCGACCCTCGAAGGCGAGGCCCCTCTCTTGAATGTCCAGTGGGTTGCAACCGAAGCACCTGCATCGGCAGCTGGGTGCAGGCCTGGTACTGCCAGTTGCCCATGTCGGGCGGCGCCCGGGGGCCCACCAGCGTGCCCCGCGTCGGTCGGCCCACCACCTCTGCGAGGAAGTCGTAGCAGCGAGAGCCGCCGGTGGCGTTCGCGTAGAAGTCGAGGACCCCCCGCCAGCCGGCAAGGGCGTCCGCCGCCGCCTCGTCCAGGATCCTCTGGGGGCCCCCAAACCAAGTGGTGACGGACCGCGTGGTGACCTCGGAGGCCCCAACGACCTCACCGCGCGGTCAGTCCCCGCACGGTCTTGGGGCCTCAGAAACCCCCAGTCAACCGAGACGTCTGCGGAGAACGGCCCGCGTTCCAGAAACCGTGCGGTGACCCCGAATCTCCACGGACTCGCCACGCGGTGTGGCCCCCACACCGCTTGGGAGCCCCCAGATCCTGCAGGCCGCCGCCACTGGGTTGGCCGGCAGCGGCGTCACGAAGTCGCACGCCTCCGGGTAATCCAGCATCGCAAGCGACGCCGCCACCCCGCGCAGGTAAAAGTCCACCTTCTCCCCAGCCGTGGTCTCGTTGGCCAGCGGTTGGCACGACCCCAATGCGTGCTCGAGAGCGCTGCGGCCCCTCTCCGACTTGGCAAACTCTGCCACTGTGGCGAGCGACGCCTCCACGCGCCCGGCGCAGCCCGCTGTGCCAAAGCTGCCGAAGGTGTGCAGCGTGGCGTTCCAGAAGGCCTCCCGGCGCTGGTCGTGCGGGTAGAAGTCGATGACGGCCCCGCCGCCCACGCCGCCGACGGTCAGCTGGGGGTACTTCTGCCGGAACCACACGACGAGCATTCCGCCGTAGCTGCCCCCGAATGTTACCACCGGGCATTCCCCGGGCCCGCAGGAGAGCCTCCGCCGGAGGCCGGCGACGAACACGGCGTAGTCGGCCATCGCCTGCTCGATGGTCAGCCACCGCAGGTCCGCACCGCCAGCTGGCACCGAGGCGCCGTAGTAGCGGTGCTCCACGAAGACCACCATGGCCCGCAGCGCCCGAGCGTGCTCGAACATGGCGCCCGTGTTGTTGTAGAAGGTCGGGATCGGCCCCTCACTGCCGAGGTACAACAAGATCGGCCCGCCTTGGAGAGAAAACGTGGTACCGATACCTACGGTCGGGAGCTTTGCTTAGCGTGTCGCGGCGACGGCCCTGGCGACACGCTGTGCCCTGCAAGCGGATAGGGTTTCGCTCCGCTGCGCGGGGCGGGAGGCTGGGAAACGCTCGGGAGGTTGACGCTTGGGAATGGGGACGTGGATAGCGTGTCGCGTCGAAGCGTGGTGGGCCAGAACCGGCAGAGCGACACGCTGACCAAAAGTTCCTGACCCTGCTTCTTGATCTCTCCTGGGGTGCGCTCTGACCAGAATTACGAGGGCTCTCCAGGACGAGCAACGGCAGTGGTATCTGCTCCTCCTCTGGCGCCTGGCGCCCACCACGCGTCGTAGGACAACACGCGCTGGGTGAAGGTGCGGTCGTCCTCGCGGGCGAAGAACATGTCCGTATCCACGGCATCGCGGGCTGGGCCCCTGCGCTGCGACCCCGCGGATACGGGGCAGGTTTTCCGGGGATGCCCCGCACAGAACGCACCCGTGCGACCACGCATCCGCGGGATCGCGCCCAGGAGTCCAGAACGCGACGGCGCGGCCGGATTTTCATCCCAGGTACTCTTTAACGGTCCCGAGGCCCCGCGAGGGCCCCTGGAGACCGAAAATGGTGAAACGCAGACCGTCCAGATTCTGTCACGACGCGAGCATATGTCTGGGGACACGTTCGCCGCTCGTGACGTCCGCCGGGTCGAAGTGGTCCACGAGGGACTCCACCGCTGAGGCGCTGGGCGGGTACCGCTCCAGCGCCCCCGGCGCGGCCACGCACAGCCCCCAGCAGGCCCAGGCAGCCGCGGCGAGGGCGAGCGGGCGCCGGGCCCTTCGGCACGCCATTTGGACAAGCCCAGAGGTCCCGGCGTCGCGTTCGAGGATCGAACTTTGGCTCTCCCCCCCCGTTGGCCTCCAGGAGGGCTCCTCGTCGCCACGGCGGGATCCGCCTCGAGATTAATCCAGGCCTGAAGGCACTCTGGAACAGGTCCGGGGATAGGTTTGGACCCCCAGACCCGGGCATGCTCGCGTCACGTCAAGAATCACGACGGGGGGGGGGTGCCAGTTTTTCATGGGGGGCCCTTACCGGGCCCCGAAAACACAAAGAAACGGCCCAGGACGAAGAGACCTGCCCCAGGGGAGGGTTCGGGACTTCCGGGGGCCGCGCATTGCAAAGATCAGGGCGTCGGATCTCTGGGCTGTTTCCACACCGGGCGATCTCGCCCCACTTCGGGCCCCGACGACCTCCTCACGGATGCATCTGGCTCGAGAAGCGTCGCGGAGAGGGGGGGGGGGTCTGGAGCTCTGGTCGTGATCGTTCACGATGCTGCAAATTGTCGCCGTTGCAATTTTCGCAACGTCGGGTCTCGGGGAGGGGGGGGACGGCCAGCGGTCACTCGAGCCCAGGGGCGACCCGAGCCAGACTGGTTGCGGGGGGTGGAGGAGGGAGGAAGAAGAGCAAGAGGAGGAGGACAGCAGCGACTCCTGAATTCTCCTCCTCGTCCCCTCGCCTCACACACACATCCCCCTCCTGCTCCTCCTACTCCTCTTGGTCTTCCCTCCTCCCTCCCAGGTGTCTCAGCTGCCGTCCGGGCTGAGGCTTTGGGTGCTGCACCGCAGGGGGCCTGAAGGGACTGCGGCCACGCGCGCTTGCCCGCCGCCCGCCGCCAGGGCCAGTCGTGCCAGCAATGCGACGCCGCGCTGTTGGAGTCCTCGCGAGGACCCCGCGTGGCACAGCAGGCAGTGCAAGGAGAACAGCAACGCAAGGACGCTGCTGCGAGTCGCCGAGGCCGCGAACCTATTGAAAAAACATCACACAACCAGCTACCAGATGAATCATAGAAGACAGAACCGAGATATACGCTCGGCATCCCGTCCAAATCGAGGGTCCACCCTGAGAGAAACCAGTGTAGCGCAGACCGTGGGAATACCCAGCGCGTTCCCATCACAACGGCTGGGTCTGTCACGATGTACACAATGTCAGACATCAGATACGACGCCATCAAGACAATATTCCCAAGGACGTCCTTGGACAGAAGTCAATGGAGGTGGTCGGCGTGCCAATGGCCGAGCACAGAGCCATCAGCCATGCCATCGTCATAGAACTAGAGCAGACTCTCAAGTACCCGCTGCCCATGACGCAGATGAGCGCGATCCGCTCCGTATCCAGCCGTGCGCACCAGAGTTCGCAAGGGTACATCGGCGAGGACAAAAGCCACCAGAAGACCCCAGAGCACTTGGACAATTCAGGAACGCCCTGGGAGATATGCTTGAGAGCTTAAGAAGAGACATATACGGTGCGCACAAGATATTCAGCTATCGAAGGACCAGTTCGACGGCCTCAAGGAGGAGTTCAGCGTCGTCCTGTACCAGACTATGTACTCCAGGGCCCCCAGGTGCGCGTGTGCAAGCAGCAGCAGTGTCTCGTGGCAGGCCGGGCGCAAGAACATTATCATCTAATTGGAGGCGTGCGCCACACAGGTGGAGGCGCCCCATGATGAACTCGCATCTGCAGAAAAGTGGCTGCAACGCTTACACGGTGTGGAGGAAGAAAAAAAGAAAAGGCAGAACAACGCCGCCAAGCAGACGTTCAGCACGTCGGCGCTTGGCCGATGGCGAAGAGGAGAAAGTGCCATGGCGCAAGGTTCAGTCCCCTAGCGAGGGAAACTGCCAGTACAGAAAGTAAAGAGAGGTTGTGCGACATTCTCTGGTGAGACGTGCGCGCAGTGGTACAGTACGGGGATCGTGTGGTAGCTCCGCTACCAGTGTGATTATGATGCGTTTTTGCGCAATGGCAAAAAGGGGGCCTTAGAGGTCAAACGGCGGCGAGTAGCGGCCAGTGGTGCATATGCACACGTCACGCATGCACTATCTCACAGGTGCCACTCGGTCTCCACGGCCAGGGCATCACGAACAGCTCAGGCACAAGAAATCCCCGCCGAACGCGAAAGAAATCGATCCCGTCTATTGGGCCCGCAGGACAGGAGCCCGCCCCCACTCCCCACGTCGGCCAACAGGAAATGCTGGAACAGACTTCCATTGCGGTCAAGGTTGGCGCCATGGCGGATGAAGAATTGCTGGCAGGACCTTAGACGCCCAGCTAAGCGACGCCGCCAGCCGCAGCTGCCATGTCAACGGCAGCCTCTTCAGTGGTACCAGCCACTGAAGAGGCTGCCGTTGACATGGCCGGGACATTGCTTAACTGCATGAAGTCAATTACTTCAGCTGAGGCCCCAGGAACCTCGAGAGGCCCCACGTTTGAACCTCCAGAGGATGCGGCTGGTCTTACGCCTGCTTCTTCCACACCCAATGTTCCTGCTGCCTCCTATTCGAAGACGAGGGCGATGCTGGAACGACCCTGGCCTACCCAGCCTTCGCAGAACAACCAATCCTACTCTCCTTCCTGGCACTCCACTACCATCAAAGAGTTGTCCCACACACGCATGAGCATGAGCGCGCGACTAAGTATGACAGATATGAGTTGCGGTATGCACGGATGCCACAGCGGGAGGTTTCAAGTACGGTGAGGTCGGATGGCAACCAGCATGAGCCATTTGCATCGTCGCAGCCTCGCTTACCCTCGGCAGCGCACTCATGGGCGTCATGACAGGGCCACTTGACGGATGTAGCAGCCCCGCCCAACATGCCACGCTGAGAGCAGAACTTGAAGCTGCCAGCTGGGCGCTTGCCAGGTCCGTGCAGTTGGGTATTCAGGCTGTAACTCCCCTCGTGCTTATAAATGACACTATGGACGTGGTGCGCGTGTCGAATGGGGGGGGCATGTGACATGTACACGCACACTGCGTGCAAAGTACACGAGCGTACAGACACGACACAAACATGGTCATCGTGCGCACCCGTGGAATGAATACGCCGACACGATTGCAAGACCCTGTGCCGTGGGAGTGCTAATGTATTCCTTGTTTCGAGCCCAGCTGGCGAACTCACATCTGCCGTGAATCACACAAGACAGCTCTTGCATGGCCTTGGTTGGAGACTCTGCCCTGCTCGGAAAAGAGCTGCTTACCAACCCGCCCCAGGCATTCCCTTGGGCGAAACATGGCAACCCAAACTACGCTACACGACAACATACCTAGTGTTAAATATTTCCGTCCATTCAAGCTGGTTGCCGCTTGGAGCTGGTTTGCGATTGCATGCGCACCAACGACCGACCCCACTAAGCAACGAGCAGCCTCCAGGCTCTACCCAGTTAGGCTACGGCACGGCGGGGCGCATGATACAACTAGCGGGCCAATTCTCGCACAAACCTTATGTCATGGTGGGAACGGTAGGGGCCATACTCAACCGCACAGGAGTATCACACATCGGTGCTTGCTTTATCCTGAGCAGCAGCGCAGCGAGCAAGGGAAAGGACGGATGCTCTCGTTGTATCAGTACGACGGTGGAATCTGAACCAGGTCATTGCATGTCTGCGAATCACTGCCACACGTGCGCCAGCCCTGTCTCCTTGCACCCGTGTGGCACATGCCCCGCATGCACGCCGCCACCCCCGCAAGATATCACCGACTCGGGGACCTCCCACAAGGCTCCAGAGGCACAGCTGAGCACGTGGTCGCGCTCATTGACGCGAGCGCGGCCATGAGTTCGATCACCGACCACACCACTGACCCAGAGCATGCTGGGACAGAAAACCATCTGGGGCTTTGTTTCAGATGGCTCACGCAGCACATTCTCAACCATGGGCCTCATCTACCTTCTACGAAGACCCCATTGGATTTGCAGGAAATTGGCTAGCACCCAGCAAGCGCGCCTCCTACAAACAACGGGACGCTGTGGTTAAGTTTGCGGGGTCTTCCTGTATCCAACTATTGGGTGGACGAGGACATTGACTTGACGGTGTCTCACGTCGACCACCGTATGGCTGCTGCCAAGCCCCGCTTCGCTTCCCCCCATCCAGGAAAAACTAAGCCATCCAAAGTGAAACGCGATCCTCTGCACCCTCTGATGACCCGGCAGCATCATGGCATTTTTGCTCATTGCTTGATAAGTTCCAGCAGCCTGAATTGTTGGAGCACGCGACCGATCACACGAATGCTTGCTGCTTACCCCTTTCCGGTTCCCCATCCTGCCTCAAATAGTCCTAGGTGAAGCAGGCCATGGAACAAACATTCCCAGTGCGAGAGTCAGCGCTAGGTCGCCGCCCCTGAATGCACGACAAACGCAATCTCTACCTCAGCCAAGCTAGGAAGGTAAAGGTACTACACAGTGCTAACCAAGCGTCTCTACTCGTTCTTCACTTTGCCTGGAGGTGATTTACGGCGAGCCCCACCAAGTGCACAATGCGCAGACAATTTGTAAGTCCGCGGGCGCAAGGTGGTCAAGGACAGCCTGACGCCGGTCAGCAGGCGGTGGGATGCACCGGGAGCGAATTGCGGCACATTAACAAAATGAACAAGGCGCGAGAGACAGGAAAACCTATGATCATCAAGAGGCGCCGGACCGCTGGCTGCATCATACCGCCGCCGAGGAAGTCGCGGTCGTCGTTCCATTGGAAGATGTGTCACGGCACCAACAGCAGGCGCCCCAAACCCTCCCCTACCACACTACCCACGGCATCCAGGATTCGCCTGATTTTATCCCACCGCTTGCGGACTTCCAGTGAGTATGTCGAACGGCCGAACACACGGCGGCCAGCATTGATGGGAGACTGGGTGCCTTGCTCCGGACCCACGACCCCATCGTCGTCAAGGCCAGCCTCTGGCTGGAGAAACCACTACAATTTAAAGGCGGCAACTACTGGAACACATGGAAAGAAAGCGATCCCAGCCATGTGTAGGAACAGCAGATCAGTCATGATCTGCCCTCCGGTTGGCAAGAAATAGGGGCAACTACGGCGCGAACCCTTGGTGGAGGCACTACCTAGACTAGCAGGCGACAGCCAACACGGCGGTAGATCAGGGTGAGGATTT